CCCCCCCCCCCCCCGGGTCAATCCGGAGTCACCCCCCTTCACTTCTCAGCCCCCCCCCCCGGGCTCAATCCGGAGTCACCCCCCTTCAGATCTCAGCATCCTCAGCTCAATCAGGAGTCACCCCCTTTTGCATCTCAGTCCCCCCAGGCTCAATCCGGAGTCACCCCCCTTTGGATCTCAGGCCCCCCAGTTCAATCCAGAGTCACCGCCGATTGCAATGGGGATAGGGACAGGTTCTGAGCTCAGCTCCCCTGGGGTCAATCTGGTGTCAGCCCCCCTTCGGATCTCAGCTCCCGGGGGCTCAATTCGGAGTCACTCCTGATTGCAATGGGGGCAGGGCCAGGTTCGGATCTCAGTTCCTCCCCTTGCCCACCAGGATGCACATAGCCACACCCCCTAGAATTAACCCCGCCCCGAACCCAGGTCCCGCCCCTCGTGGCCCATCCGTGCAGCCCCAGCGCCACCTAGTGCCCGGTGCGGGGCTTCTCCGCAGCAGCGCCCCCCCCCCGCAGGGCATTGTGGGACAGGGGCGGAGCCGGGCTTGACACTTCGCTCCCAGCTGAGCGCAGAGCAGGACGGTGCATGGGGGTGCGGGGCTCTTAAAGGGCCAGCGCCGTGAAGCGGGGGGGGGCAGTCCCGTGGCACCCCCATGCCGTGGTCTGCGAGCCGGGCGGCTGGCCGGCTGGCCCGGGGGGTGACGGCCAGGAGGGCGGCCGTGGCCCTGACGGTGGCGGCCCTGGGTGCCCGGAAACTGTACCCCCTGCTGCGCCGGGCCACCGCAGGCTCCCGGCCCGTGGCCCCGGGGCCCGTGGGCGCCTCGACCGGCACGGAGCCCGGGGCCACCAGCACTGAGCCCAGGGCCACTGGCACGGAGCCCGGGGCCGACTCGGGGAGCGCAGAGCCCGGGCCTGACTCGGGCCACGGCCGGCCCGTGGCTCAGTGGCCGGAAGAAGATGCCGCGCCCGGCGTCAACCGGGCTTTCCTGCGACGGCTACTACGTCTGCTGCGGCTCCTGTTCCCCGGCCCGCTGTGCCCGGAGACGGGGCTGCTGGCCCTGCACTCGGCCGCCCTGGCCAGCCGCACCTTCCTCTCGGTCTACGTGGCCCGGCTGGACGGGCGCCTGGCCCGCTCCATCGTCCGCAAGAGCCCCCGGCGCTTCGCCTGGCTGCTGCTCCAGTGGCTGCTCATCGCCGTGCCCGCCACCTTCGTCAACAGCGCCATCCGCTACCTGGAGGGCCGGCTGGGCCTGGCCTTCCGCGGCCGCCTGGTGGCCCACGCCTACGGGCTCTACTTCCGCGCCCAGACCTACTACCGCGTCAGCACCATGGACGGGCGCCTGCGGGCGCCAGACCAGTCGCTCACCGAGGACCTGGTGGCCTTCGCCGGCTCCGTGGCCCACCTCTACTCCAACCTGACCAAGCCGGTGCTGGACGTGGCCGTCACCTCCTACGCCCTGCTGGGGGCGGCCCGGGCCAAGGGGGCCGGCACGGCCTGGCCCTCGGCCATCGCCGGCCTGGTGGTCGGCCTGACGGCCAAGGTGCTGCGGGGCTGCTCGCCCCGCTTCGGGGAGCTGGTGGCCGAGGAGGCCCGGCGCAAGGGGGAGCTGCGGTACATGCACGCCCGGGTGGTGGCCAACGCCGAGGAGATCGCCTTCTACGGAGGGCACCAGGTGCCGGGGCATGGGGGGGGG